GGAGGGGGGGTTTAGTCCTACAATGAACTAGCACCCCATCCAGGGAGGAGTAAAAATATTTCTAGTTGCTTCATGCTAGCATAATTGTATTAGCAACATAAAACTGCCTTAAATGCTCACAAATCATGATTGGTTCCTTTCTAGGTGAGATTTCATCAGTAACTATGCAGTTTAAATTATATTGCAGTTCAAAATCATGAAAATACCATGACCATAATCTTATGCTAAATCATTTCATGGCAGGTTCATACAGTACCTGCTACTGTCTGATCGCAGTTTCCATGTCCTGGTATGCAACACAGGGTCTAGCAGGCTGTGTTGGTGAAGACGCTGTTGATCCTGCTGAACCTCCACCCAAGATGACGGCACTGAAGCAGTGAACCTTGGCATCAATGTAACAAACTCTGTGAGCTGAACCAAAGACAGCAGGCCTGCCATAGTGACTGGTTCATCAGGGTCAAGAGCAACAGCTGCAAACGTAATGCAATGATCAACATGCTACTGCATGCCAGAAATTCCTATTTTAATTTATACAAACTTATGGTAATGTTTTATAAGGAAGTGTAAACATTACATGAGATGCTGCAAATTTCTTTCTCACTGTTAACTGCTTACAGCTCATGGTTATGTGATACTTGAAGTAACTTTCCCACTGCATTGCACAGAGTGGACATACCAGGATGTGTGCTTGTATATACAAACTATGCATGGAAGATTACTCCAAATACTACAAAATTATAGCTCAAATTTAAGGAACAAAAAAGAAGTACAAGGGGAGGAAAGTGTAAAACGACTGCATTCACAAAATAGTGCGGATAAATAACGACAAAATATTAACCTTTTTAAAATAGTCTTTTCTGTTGCTTATTACCTGATTGTGACCAAGAACCTGCTGAGGTTGCCTGAGGAGTGCCATCTGTACTCTCTTCTCCCATGGTACCTAAACTTGCTTCACCAGCCTGCTGGTGCCGCAATCCAAGAAAGTGCATCATTCCATCCTCTGTGCATGCACAAAAGCAGTCCATCCCTGGACAGTTCAGAACATGTGTAATCCTTGAGGCCCCATTTGTGAACTTGGTGAGAATATTCAGAGAGCTTGCATCCATAAGGACGACACTCTCCCTGACAGCTGCCACCAACAGCTGACTTGGCGAAGAATGCTCTGCTTCGGCCTCTTGAAAGCAGAGGTCACCTAAGTGATCATGGCTTTCAAGGGGCAGGGGAACTATGCTACTGAATAGACCATCAGTAGTGGCAAAGGGTTTTGTTCTTGTAGGCTGTTGGGACAACGTTCTCTTGCCATCATTGATAACTATTCTGTACACTGCAAGAGTCGTTTGATTAAAATTATGTTCACAATTATGATTGTTTGGATTAATTTCTTGCTTAGAATTATTTGCTGCTTCTGCTGAAGAATCATCACTTGATTGAACTATCGTTTCAGTTTTTCTACTTGAGCCATTGGGAGCCGACTTCACTTTATCATTGCAGGAACTACATACATCAAAACTGATCAACAAATATTGACCATCCCCAAATGGGACTACGTTGGACACCTTACAGCACTGTCCTTTGCAGACTACTGACAACCCAATACACTGAAGTTCCCTATATCTATTTGGTTCCTCTTTAGATTTGTTAGTCTTTCCTTTGTCTTCATTCTCACCAGCGATAGCCTCGGCAAATTTTTGCAACACAGATGAATGAAGTGTGTCAGGAGGAAGGACCGGAGGAGGGGGAGGGGCATAAACAGGAAGCTGATCATACATCCAGTCATCATCACTCCCAGATGGGGTCAGCATCAACATTTCCTTTTCAAGTTCAGTACTGCTGTCAACGTTGAAATGCTGCTTTGAAGTAGTTTCTCCTAGCTTGTTTCCTGAATCTGTCAAGATGTCATACACTAAAATGTAGGGGTGAAGTTGAGTTCCCGCTGTGGCATTTGAATCATGTTTGTCCTCTGCTTTTACTGCATCACTTGTCAGGTAGTTCTTTCCCACAAATGTTGCTAGCATTAAAGTTGCAGTGTGTCCAAATGATTGACATTTCTGGCCGGCATTGTTTGTTGGATCTTTTCCACAAGAACACACAATAGACACCGAACAGACAGTTAACTTGTGTTTGCCATTTTGTTGATCTGAAACAGTATTTTCAGATGGACTGTCAGCAGCACTCTTCTCCTCATCTGTAAATAATGCAACCAACATGGATTATATTACATAAATTAGGATGGAAATTGTGTGGGAGTTTATTATTAAAAAAAAACCTGGAAAAACACTTCTAACACTCATTTCCAGCTTCCTCTTTTCTCTGTTTGAAAACAAGGCTTGGGGCACAGCATTTCATATTGAAATGAGGTTTTTTCTTGCATGTTTATTGTCTTGCAACTCAAACTCATTTCCATATGAACGGTTCTGTAACGGGACTTGTTTTGAAACAGAGGTAAAAAGCAACTTGTAAATGGCTTATTGCATAACAAACTGTTCTCTCTTATTTGAGACTCGTATTTAGAGTTGAGCCCACAACTGATTTTAGTCAAACTTTACCCTCCTCTTTTTATGCAACTAAAAAAAAAGACAGGTAGAATACCACACCATACATCTGTTACAGCATATACCTATGTCCTTTGATTGATCATGACTAAGAACGAATCAAAGTGCCAGAATAATGTTGGTGACTTATCATATAGAAGACAACTAAACACATGCACTAAGGTTAACTATCAATGAAAAGTAGACTACATCAAAGCTACATTGTAATCAGAACATTATTATTCACAGCTTTGAAAACAGACCACAGCAAAGTTGTACTATTTAAGATTTGCACCTTGTCTGTTCTCGCATTCTTCACTGGTGTTCTGGTGTAGTGTGGGCGAGGGTGTAGACGCCTCCTCTTTACAGCTTTCTTCACCATTGCTAACTGGAGTAAGTGCTTCACTCACACTTTCTGAGTCATTGTCTTGTTCAGTAGATGTGCCTTCCATATCTTCTTCATTCTCGGGCTCAGCCCAAGCAATAAAGCTTGTTGGAGGGCCAGTTCTTGCGGACAAATCACCAACCTGTACATCTGTAACCTCATCAGGGAGATCAACTTGAAACTCAGTGTGGATCTGCAATTAAAAATAGACTTTTTCCATGTAATGTAAAGAAGCCTATGCATAAGAAATTGGAGGGCCATATTTAAAACTTACAAAGGATTTAAGACTGTCTTAAGTTAGTAATAAGTTAAGCGCAAGGTTAAAGCCCCCCAAAATTGTCAAAATTCATACAGGAAATAGTTTAAATCACGTGTTAGTTATGCAATACTTCACAATACAGTTATGAGGTTTATACAATGAAGGTTTATTCAGGATGCAAATAAATGGTTGCCAACCTTAAGCTCATCTTGGATGTTCCAGATGATGACATGTCCATCTTCACTACACGTTGCAATATAGTGGGAACAAGAGCTCTCGCTGATGACCTGCACCAACGAAAAGCAAGGTATTTGTGCAATCCAATATTCTAAGCTCAAGTACTTCCTTGTCCCTTGAAAAGAACTCATTGCATATGCATGTACAGGTATTGAACGCAACCTTACCAGTAATCTTCATGGAGTGAGAGTGACAACTAAAGTTTGTACAGACACGGTAGCAAGACACCAGAGTCTCACAGGTATTGAACATGCAAGAAATTCCCAGTCTTGGGGTGGGATAGGATTGGATACCAGTTGCTCAAAATGAGATGGAGCTATTCCAGGACAGTATGAATTTTAAAAGGGACACTGTCATAGCTGATCATTGAATTTTTCCTCCATTTTCGTAATATACCACCAAACGCCACCAAATATGAAAGCAAATAATTTGGTAAAAATATCAGAGCAATTACAATGAGTGTATAATTTGTGGAAGGACACACAGCATAACAAGACAAAATACATGATTCCAAGAATATAGTTAGAGTGAAAGCCCAACACAGTGTACCATTACTAACATGGCTTGACCAACTTACTTTAACATGAGTTGATTCATGAGCACAAGCTGGAGCAGTAGCTAGTGACACTAAAAAAACAATGGCAGGAGACAGAATCAGAAATTGCTGCATGGCATACATGTACATCTTCAACCAGGCCACATGGAAGAAAGAAAATTGATTTTTGAAAGCCTTAACTGTGAGTTAAGGATTGTGACCTTTTATGTAAAAAGACCAACACTATTCAAGAATCTAGTATATAATAAATCTTACATAAAAAAAGAATTAAAGCCAAATAGATTTGTGCATATACTGCCAGAGACAAACCAACTTCAGTGCCAGCAAGCCGGGCCAAACTCCTTGATTTCTCAGTTGCCCAGAACCATATAAAGTGGCCCTGGATTTTCTGCAGCTGTAGTTACATGAAACACCAGCCACAGCCTCTCTTTTGTCCAACTATTTTGACACATTCAGGAGTTTTTGTCAATGCTGTACAGCTTTTGTTAGCTTCCTGAGCATCTTTCTTATTCCTCAGTTTTTTGGTCGACAACTGCTCAACCAGTGAGGGATTCAACATTTTGTCAACGATTGTTGTGTATTAAGCACAAGCATGTGTGATGACACAGAACAGACAGCAAATTACTTTGGGTGAGTCTGGAGTCACATGGCGACAGAGATATCAAAATAACATCTCATTATGGATTCAGTTCCCGTGGAATTTTGCAGTTAAAGAACCACACATTTACTGATGTTGGTGAAATTAGAGTTAAGGGGAAGAAAAAAGACAAAGTCCGATTAAATTACTGGTTATTTTATTTTTTAATTATTTTAATTTTGTATTTTCTAATAAATCGCACTGAAACATTTCGTATTGTAGTTGCGTATTGGGCAATTAAACCTAAATTTTTAGTCGTCCAAGTTTTAGCCCTGCCCCCAAGTTTCTAGTGAGTGAATGGCCAACGACAGAACTGAGTTGACAATCACTCAAAGGAGACAAGGGTGAGTAGCCTATTTCTTTTTGCTTTGTAATGAAACTCATTAGATTCCAGTTCAAAGCCCACAATTTTATCTATTATTAAGCCAAAACTAGAGAATAATCTGTCCTTTCAAGAGTAACCAGGTTGCAATCATGTTCAGTCAGTGAATATAAAATTTTGGGAGAATCGATCAGATTTGTGGGTTTCCAATAGAACTCGCTGAGTCCCTTACATACACTTATGATTGTTCCCAGAGAGCTATGATGGACTTCACCCACCTGACATAGGAACATTTTTAGTGTGGTCTCCTCTCACAAATGAACAGTCTGGACAATGGCGCTCATGCTCTGACCTGACAGACAGAATGACAAGTCTGTTACAACCGCCAAACTTAAAAAATAATGTGGTTGTTTCTATCAGCCAGGAGCTTCATTATATTTTGTTAATAACACATAACGTATATGCTTGAATTAGCGCCCCCCCTTGCATAAGCGCTCCCTTTGAATAAACGCTCCTCCGATCAGCCAAAATTTAAAATAAGCGCCTCCCTCGAATAAGCACTCCCTCCCCTCCCCCCATTTGACAAGTAATGAGACAACAGAGGATGTATAGTTTTCATTGTGTAGTATTAGATTTGTGCATTGTTTCAGTTTGTGAACATGTTAAGTTTGGAAAAAAATTACAAATGCTAACGGTGCCGCGATTTAAACTTTAGGATCAGGTTTTTATGTCAATAAACAGCTTATGCTGTTGTTTACACGCAGATGATGCATTAAAAAAATGATCATGTCAGGCTACGATTTGGGAAAAATCAAATAAGCACCCCCCCTCAATTAAGTGTGCCCCTTGAATAAGCATCCCAGTCTTCTCCTAAATATGAAATAAGCGCCCGAGCGCTAATTGGAGGATTTATAGTACATGTATATTGTACAATTATTGACAAACTTATTGAATGAGGAGGTGACCTACTAACCAAAACCTGCTTTTTTCTGGATAGAATGTTGTTATTTCCACCTAGCAATGTCTGACATTTTGTATTGTAACACAATCAATCATTACAGCAAATGCAATAACTGAGCGTGATAAATGCCCAACCTGAATCTGCTGTCTTTACTCACCAGGGTTCATCAGTTGGTTCCCAACACACCAGACACACATTGCAAGTAAAACAGAGAGCTCGGTCATCTCCACGATTACTAGGCTGAAAGAGAAAAAGACCCAAAATAGTAACATAATAGGGCAGAGAAGCAACTAAGAGTACATGTAACTAAATAAATCCAAATCTATTGCTAGAAATTGTACGATCTACAGTAGAAAATTTTTGATTTCAGCTATATGTGGTTCATTTTTTTGGAGTTAGTTTTAAGAACAGTTAACTAACTCAAGAAAAAGGAACAACTGACAGTTGGACCCTGCTAATTTGTACTTGGTTATTTCAAATTCCAAAACCATCTCAAAACTATTTCCCATGGATCTGACTTTCAGTCATTTATTGTCAGCTATTTTTCAAACTCCCGCTATTTCGAACTATTTTTTGTTCCCCAGAGGGTTCAAAATAGTGAGTTGACTGTATAGTTGATATCAAAAATTAACTGAAATCAATAATTAACTACAACATATATTCAGTTCACCCTTTTAAAAGAGTTAGCCTAGGCAAACGAAACGTCTCTCTAAAATAACACAAAGTTAGGAAATTATTCTTTGGACAAATCAGAAAAGCAAAAGGGCAGTAGAAAGCTTTCATTTTCGTAAAAGATACAATTGGCACATAATTGTGCAAAATCAAAATTTACAGTGGTTAGATAATCAGATCCAATAAGCAAGGTTGACCTTGTAAGGATCATGTCACTTAGGCCAGAGTAAAGCATCCTTTATCCATATTTCAGTGTCTGTATTAAACAGGCTAATGTAAGACAAAATATTGAGCTTTTTGTTGAGGAAATGAAAATGTTTATATCAAGTGTCCATACTACCAGTGTCTGTATTAGGTGGGTTAATGTAAGACAAAATATATGAGCTTTTTTTTTCAGAGGAAAACAAAACTGTTTATATCAAGTGGGTGTCCATATAGTGGGTGTCCAGTGACATCTCAAACTCACTTGGTGATAAAAGCCAGCTTTGGCCATAGCTTCTGGATATGCCCACCTTAAACAAAACATAACTTCCATTAAATATGGTTCACAGGGCAAACTGATTATGAATTAATGTTTTTTCTTGGACTTCAGGCGGGTCAAAGTAATACTCATTTTTACTGAACAATAATTCAAATTTTATAAATATTGTTATCAATATTTAAATTGTGACTCAAAATCAATTTTATGACCCATCCATGGTGTAATATACAGTACCTCGGGGGTGTAACTAAGGGCCACAAACCATAACACCTGTACCGCCTGAGTATACTTGATGACACTTGATGTTATGAGTGAACTTGTCTTTTGATGATACCATTCGCCCACAAAGTGATAAGTTTGTTATGGGTGTGAAGATCACAGCAACATAGGACTTAAAACTTAATGACAGCCCTATACCTGTATTCTTTGTGCGGCCACGACGAAAATGTCTTTCTTCTGACTGCTTCCATAAACATTGGAGATTTATTTCCAGGTAAACTAGGCTTATTGTCAGTTGTGACTACTTCAAGCAGGTACATTGTCCTGGACTGCACGGCTGAAACCACCGGGAGGGCTGCATGATTCTTACAACTTCTCTGAAGGTAAGTGATCAGATCGGCAAAGGCTGCATCCAGTGCACTGCAAGCATACTTTAACTGGCAGGTGCACCACTTTGAAGGAAAACATGTAAAAATTAGTAGGTAAGGGTAAAGTCTGCATACGAGCCACCTGGCCCATCAGGCCGGAGCCTATCCCGGTTTCTGTAGCATGAAGCGACTACAGGTGTAGGGTTATTTCTACTCCCCTCCTGGATAGACTGTTAGTCCATTGCAGGGTTACAACCTCAGCACTAAATTCACCGGTGCCCATTTTGCACCTGGGTGGAGAGAGGCACTAAGGGACTAAAGCAGGACTCGAGATTAACTTTTTCGTTCGGGAGCCAGCTGGCGAGTAACGGAAAAATTCTGGTTGCCAGATCGTAAATTTTGGTCACCAACTTATTTTATATATAACTCACACAAGAA